ATGACCAACCCATTGATTTATCGGTGCCTCCAAATCGCAATACTCACACCACCGGCATGTGGCTGATATTGAAGGTCCTGAAAATAATTGAATTAGATTTAAAAAATTCGCTTAATGTCAACTTACCAGCAAAAGTCTAGCTTGCTTCAGGATGGGGGCGGCGGGATCTCCAGCCTTTCGTTTGGAGGCTCTCTTGGAGCTGGGTGTTTGGGTGGTGTTGGATAGCCCCCTCTGCTTTAAAAATCCCACCACATTGGTTACAGATCTTGGAAGATGATTAGCAATCCCATGACGTTTCAGGTTATCTCCTTCCTGGTGAACGATTTTGTGCACAAAATTAAAAATTCGCTGTTTATGGAGGTTTGTTTTAAAGTAAATGAAAAAATAAAACCAGTTTAAATTGGTTAAAGAACCTACCTAAATTTTAGAAAAAGAAATTTGAGTTTTGTGCAAATGTAAGTATAAAAGTAAATTCAAGTTGCTGCGTAAAAAACTATTGGAATTAAATTAAGAAATAGGTAGGTACTCAGGGTTGTCTGTATTTTTAAAAAACAAACAATATGATTATGTGTTAAGGAAAATAAAAATAATTCAATAATCGAGGTTTGTGTTAATTTAAAATATGTCTCAGGGCATGATTTATCCTACATCACTTAGATATTTAAAAATAGTACTTACAGTTTTTCGAAACCGACACTTATCGCACAAGAAACTAAACTTTGAAAATCCAGGCTCAAAGTACTGGTACTGGATGCTGCGTTTTTTGTACAAAGAATAAAAATTGAATCCTCATCTTTTACAGGTAACAATGTATCCACTGAAATTTTGTATTGCATAGGGTTATTGGCTCATAAAATGTCAACGATGCTAATTTAAATCTATTCTTTTAAATTTTGATAAATTGATTGAATTTGTCACCTTTTTTAAAACAAAAATGGACATATTAATATCTAACTTAATAATTACGCCTTAAACTAAAAAATTATCTTTAAAATGTGTTGTTGTTTTTCTCGGGCGATTTCTGCGAACGGTCCTGATATAATTCAGATAAAAAAAACTGCCGATTAAGCGTTTGCATTTAGCGGTGTTTTTTGTATGTGATACTTCGAAGTTTAAATCGGATTTTATAATAACAAGCTTCTTTCAGTCTCGCTCAAACTGGTCACCAGTGAAAAATATAAAATTATTGCACAACAATTAATTTGATTTTAACCAAGTAAGTAAATATCTTATATACTAATATCAATCAACAACAAGACCTGTTTTTTATAGCAAAGGATTAAAAACACTGAGAAAATTACAAGACCTGAAGCCTCATAGAAAGTGAAATTCCCAATATTTTGACAGCGTTTTTTGTATGTTATGTTGTTAATTCGAAGTTTGAATCGGATTTTATAATAATTAAGCTCTTTCAGTCTTGTTTGAGACTCGTCAACAACAATAAAATTATTGCACAACAATTATCATTTTAACCAAGTAAGTGAATATCTTATATACTGATATCGATACAATTATGAATATTTTAGATATGGATTTGAAATCAATCAACAAGGCCTGTCTTTTTATAACAAAGGATCAAAAACACTGAGAAAATTATAAGATCTGGTATAAAGTGAAAGTTCCCAATATTTTCTACGATAGGGACCTCAAAATAATTGCAAATCTTTACTGGAACCAATAAACTATACAAATTAAGGTAGATCATAAAACTATTGTACAGAAATTATTATTTTAACCTAGTAAGTAAATATCTTATACATATACTTAGGTAATCGATACAATTGTGGCATATTTTTAGCTATGGATTTGAAATACTCGTCGAATTCGACGATAACGCAGTGTTGCTCCCAAGACGTACCACCAAAATGATTGGATCATATTAAGCAGTTTATTGATGGAAAATATTCGCTTTTTGAAATCGTTGTCTTAAAAAATGTATGTTTTTAATAAAAAAACGAGGCCCCTTTCCCATCAAACGTTGGTTCCAACCAAGGATAATACACACTACTACTACAGGATAGCCTATCCTCATAAGGCCTGTGTGGAACAAATCCACTCTCTCCCCAACGTTAAATCACCAGTTGTGACGTAAGCAGCATGTTATTTCTCGCCTTGACGTAGGTTGTTTAAACAGCTGATGACTTAGTTATGGCGTCGTAAATGGTAACACACGAGGTCAATGAGCAATACTGTAGGTGTGTATCATCCTTAAGTTCGAACACCCTCTACCAGGTACAACATGAAGCTAGCTGCTGGACCCTCATAGTTACGTCACCACCACAGCATCCTGTTATAAGACACATCAAACTTGACACATGTACTCTAAATGGCGCCAAGGACGTGACCCAGGTCGCTATGACGTCATCACAGAACCCGAACCATGCATCGAACTTTGCACTATGTACTCTAAATGGCGCCACGGACCCGCACTGACGTAACCCACGTGACCCAGGTCGCTATGACGTCATCACAGAACCATGAAACGAACTTCACACTATGTACTCTAAATGGCGCCACGAACGTGACCCAGGTCGCTATGACGTCATCACAGAACCCGAACCATGAATCGAACTTTCCACTATGTACTCTAAATGGCGCCACGGACCCGCACTGACGTAACCCACGTGACCCAGGTCGCTATGACGTCATCACAGAACCATGAAACGAACTTCGCACTATGTACTCTAAATGGCGCCACGAACGTGACCCAGGTCGCTATGACGTCATCACAGAACCCGGAACGACTCAAAACTCCCGCTATGACGTCATGACGTTTGACAGATGACGGTTGACAGATGACGTTTGACAGGTGACGTTTGACAGATGACGTTTGACAGGTGACGGTTGACAAGATGGCGGGAAAACATTTCCCCCCCACCCCTTTTTCTGGTACCCATATTAAAATCCGGGGGCCCCTTTTTGGGGGGCGGAGCCCTGCGGGTCCCAACTACAGCATCCTGTATTACGAACTTCACACTATGTACGCTAGATGGCGCCATGACGTTTGACAAGATGGCGCCGACGATGCATCCACCTTCGTGTCAACGGCGGCGCATCCACCACGTGTCAAGAATGAAAGATTGAGGTTATGTTCGGATTTTGGTCCTTGAATCCCTGTTGCTTATCTACTGGCATAAACAACTTATTTTAAAAAATTCGAAAAAAATATATCAAAAGTTACTATACTATCACTATCACTTCGATATCAGCATTCACTGATTATAAAATATCAGGAAAACCAATAACAAAATAAAAATAATTTAAAAAAAGGAAAGTGTGAGGTTAGAATTAGACGACCTTTTTATTATTTTACATTGTTGACACGTTGTCTACATTGTCTACATTATCTACACGTAAAGTAGACAATGAAAGTCTACGTGTAGACGCACATCCCTGGTTTACAGCCTCTCAAAGTAGCAAAAAAGTCAATTTTCAACTGTCAATATTTCCAAAACAGTTGAACTTATTTATGGATTAAAGCTTGGTACCAAAATATATGGAATTAAAAACCCTCCAAAATGATGTATCACTTGACCTTCCCATTTAAGATTTTCTAGGGCGTGGCTGTGGGGATTGGGGGGGTTGAAAGGGAGGAGGTGAATTTTGCATAAAAACTCATCACCCTTCAAATTACAGTTTACCTGTTTCAGGGATTTTTCCGAAAATTTTCAACTCCGTGATAATAGGGGTGGTAAGTTTTAAAATGAACACCCTGTATAGGATTTAAAAAATTGAAAACATCGTATTTGATGACTATTATTAGGTACATCATATACCGTGTCTGCCGGGTCAACCGCGGGCCAAACATTTAGCTTTAGGTTTGTTTCTGCAGAAATCACAAACCAGTCAGAGTGAATAGCTTTGTTCGCGGGTCCGATTCCGAATCGGTTCAGGGACTATTCGCATGCGCAGTGTAAAAAATTGCGTTCGCGGATAATAAAATTCTGAATTTTTAGTAACAGTTCTACGTTCGCGGATCACATAGAACTGATTTTAATTGATTCGGAATCGGTTCTAGAAGTCCCAGGATTTTTGTTAGGACTAAAAGTTCGGTTCGGCTGCTCATGCGCAATTTCGTCAGACTCGTCAGTTGACTGGTGTTTATTTGTGTTTGCGTTATGGAAATTTGGGTTTTTTATTTGTTCTTACGCTGAAACGATAAACTATACGCTAGTTTTTTTCCGACGGAGTTTATAGTTTACTGAATTTGCAGTACAGTATTATGTAAGTTACTTATCTCTATTTAATCTAATATATTTATTTATATGCACAATTTTAGTGATTTTTTTTTTCATCTAAGTACCTACTACTACTAGTCGGACCATTTGTCATCTAACGATGAGGACAAGGAAGAATTAGAGCTTATTTAGGTTCCTAAAAGCGATGTAATTTTGAGAAGGTGATGCCACATTTCAGGGATGAACAATGTATAGAGCATTTTCAAATTTTGAATGAATATAAATATTATATCTGTTCTGTTATTCTTTTTGATTTATGAAAATCAAATAGCCAAGGTTCACAAATCACATAATGTCTAAAAGTATTCGGTTTTCGGTTCCAAAATCGTTCGCGGTAAAAAGAAATCCTGAACCGATTCTTAACTAGGCATGCGCTCTACGACAATCCCGAGTTAGTTCTGAACCGATTCGGAATCGGACCCGCGAACAAAGCTAATATCTTTGGTTGAAACTAGTTTTCTGACTGTTTCTGACTGTTTTCAACCAATGAAATTCGCTCTGACTGGTTTGCGATTTCTGCAGAAACAGACCTTTTATTTATTGGCGAATAGGAAACTCAAAATTTATTGAAGCTGTTGTCATCTTCTAGGAAAAAGCCCAACTAGCTATTTCATACAATCTATCAGTCCTAGATGGCAGCAGCGCAACATATTTCTACAGTGACTAGATAAATAAATCATTATTTAATAGAGTCACTGTAATATCGTTGGTTATTGGTTATTTCAACTGGTATTTATTTTATATTGACATTTTATGGACATTGGCACATTGGACATGTTGTGTTGATGTAATAAAACAACAAGAAAATTAAGTTATGAACCTTTGGAAAATAAGCAGAAACAAGATATTAAATAATTAATTTGTGATCGTCCAATAATCTCTAATCTTAGTTCATAATAAACAAATGCGGAACGGTGGTGGGTGTGCCGGTGTACTTTTGTGTCTTTGGTGTACAATGTGTGCATTTTAGAAAATAATTAATTTTGGTCATACTATTTTTCGCTTAACTTCTCAATTTAAATGAAAATGAAGCTATTACAATCACTTTTGCTTGTTTTAATAGGTAAGTAATCATTTTATTGTAGGTTATGTAAGTATCAAACCCTCGATCAAACCCCCTATCAAACCTAAGGGTATTTTTACCTAGAAATATTTATTTGCTTCCTATCTGAGTTCCTATCCTATATATCAATTGATTTTTTTAAGATATATACGACAAACTGTCTGTTGAGTTGAATACATAGGTACTAAGTAAACTATCACACATTCCAAATTCAAACTCTTTATCAACGAACCAGCCTTTTTCAGTACCTACCAACAATATAAATTCTGAATGATAATAGTAATAAATAATTAAAAAATACAATATTAACAATAAAATCTAATATCTAAAATAACCAAATACCCTGTTGTATTCAGTTTTTCAACCCTTTTGAAGATAAATTGAAGAGATCCAAGGATCTACCTCTCTTGGCAGTTGATTAGCTTGCCTGCAAATTTTGGATATAGGACTTAGATAACCATAATTTTTCCTGTGATATACCTAATAATATATTGTACTTGCTGGTACATGAATGTTTATATATTATCATCTAGTAGAGCAGGACAATCAATTAAATTATTTACAATATTATATAAAAAGCTAAATAACTATGCCAAGATTTCTCCTGCGGATTTCTAATATAGGAAGGTATGATAAAACAGATAATTCACCAAAATTAATATTTCCAACAGGAATTAACCTATAGCCTAGACCGAGGCCTATACTTAGGTCGAGACTTAGGTCTAAGAGCCCCTATTTGAAACGTTTCCGGCATATTTATGTAAAAGCAATACTGGAGTAAACAGAATAGGAAGAGTGAAAAGGGCTGGAGTGTCATCCTCGAGGTCATCCTTAATTTTTCTCGAGATTTTTCCTTAATCCAGTTTTAGAACTTGACTTAAGTAAGGAAATAAAAAGCCTAAGGAATGGGGTGAGAGAGGGAGAAGATGAGATAAGCTCAGACATTATAGAAGCATTTGAGCCCTATGTCATCAAACCATTGTTGCATATTCTAAATGTGGTTTTTGGTACTGGGGTTTTCCCTGAGGTGCTAAAGTCTAGAGATGTGAGGAGAGAATATTCTCGAGAGAATATTCTCGAGAATATTCTCTACTAGAAAATTCTCGCGGTAACATCCTTCCACCTAACCGCGTCGCGTTTACATAACACGAAACCAATGTTGCCAAGTGCTCTTTGCAAAATTACTGGCAAGGAATTCCACTTTTACTGGCAAACACAAAAAGTCGAATCGAGGCCCTAGTCTTAGGCGATTTCAAGTCAGACACAAGTTTTGGCTCTTTTTGTATTCACATTTTCAAATCAGAAATGATGACGTCACGTTTCAAGACCTTGGCCTGAGAGGGGTCACTTTCGCTAGTTATCAGAATAGAATTTGAATTTGTGTTCATCGTATCCTCATGTCAGTTATTTCAAATTCCAACATACTAGTCAAAGATAGGCTGCTCATCGCCTCATCAGAAAAAAAAATTGCTCCCATATCAGGAAGAAAAGAAACATTTCCTCTCTTGTTTAGGGGTCGAAAATGAACAATTATGGTAACCTTGGCTTGGTCAAGACGTATTTTTAGATTTAAATCTTGGATTTCTGATTTCAATAAGTATTTCTATATTTTTTTTAGCCCCTATAACCTGATAGTCATAATGCTGCGTAATAATTGGCTATAATTAAGTTGATATTACTTTAAAAAGACGTTCTCAGAAAATTCTCAAATTTGAGAATATTCTGGAGAATATTCTCTTTTTTATTATTCTCGAGAATTTTCCATCTCTACTAAAGACTGCAGTAATTGTTCTGTTATACAGTGTCTGAGACAGTGTCCCCCATAATGTTCGCTACATATGGGGAATTTTTTTATTTGTAGGATATGGAATTTTTTCTTATGTGCGATCGATCCTGCATGTCCGATAACCTAAAAGTACATTTTGACATTGGTCACGTGATCACTGTTGTGGCGGCAAATTTGAAAATTTACATATGGAAACGCGAAAAGTGGGGTGAGGTGAGATGGCAAAATTTCGGAAAAAGTTATTTGAAAAAAGTGATTAGAACGATGTTTTCGGGCTGTTTGCGAAATTTGGAGGAAAAACAACAAAAAACAGGAAATTACTTGTTTTTCGCCATGGATCTCTAAGTTCAATAACGAATATTTTCAATTGTTGTATCAACATTAAGTTATTGAAAATCTCAGAAACTGTCAACATATAGGGTATTGCTACAGAAAAGTTCCATGTGCTACCTAGTTGAATATTTTTATTTAATCCTCTAGGAATTATTCCAATGAAGAATTTAAGTTTGTTTTACTAATACACATTAAATATTGAGGTACTTGGGCCTCGACTTGGACTATTTCAATAATAAAAATTGTATAATAATATTTGATAAGAGATCCATGGCTAAAAACAAGTAATTTCCTGTTTTTTTATTATTTTTCCTCCAAATTTTGCAGACGGCTCTAAAACATCGTTCTAATCAATTTTTCCAAATAGGTAACTTTTTTCGAAATTTTTCCATCTAACCCCACTTTTCACGTTTCCATATGTAAATTTTCGAAACTATGCAGGGTAGTGGAAACTATTTTGAAGAACTTAGATGCAGGCAAGAAAGTAATTGGCATTTTTCTAGATATGCAGAAGGCATTTGATACTGTGGCACACAAAATTCTCCTCGATAGATTGGATGGCATTGGGGTAAGGGGGATACTTAATTTACTAATTAAATCATATTTATGCAGAAAACAAAAAACCAAAACACCAGGGGTGGAAAGTCCAAAAATGGAAGTTGAATTTGGTGTGCCGCAGGGCACAGTGCTGTCACCATAACTCTTTAATATTTACATACATGGCTTGTTGTCTTTGTTGGGGGAAAATGGGGCTGTTTTTTGTTTTGCCGATGATTCAGGAGTAATTATTTGTGGTGAAGACTGGGAAACAACAAAGCAGAAGGCAGAATTAGGCTTACAGAAAATTAAAGCTTGGTTAGATGTAGTGATGTAAAATTAACGAAACATTCAAAAGCCGCGAACATTCTCGCAAACTTTCCGGGAATATTGGAAACTTTCGGGAACTTATGGAAATATTGTTTTTTTTTTTTTCAAATTTATAGCTTAATCATACAAATCGTAGTAAGTAGTGATGTAAAATGCTTGAGCGAGTATTTTAGGAGAACGTTCTCCGAGCAGAATCGAGAATTAACGAGAATAAACGAGCAAAAATGAGCCGAGAATTTATGATTTTTATCAGAAGCTGAATAAAACAAAACATTTTTCTAAATACTTAAGTTCTGATTTTTCTCAAATTTCCCGAAACTCCCAAATTTCTCGTGAAAGTCCTGAATATTCTGAAAATTCTTCATAAATGTGCTGAAAATTCTCAAACTTATAGGAAAATATAATACATAATTAATCTCATAATTTGTGAATTGTGTCTTGTGTCATGTTTGACAACAATAATAATTATTCTAATTTATCATGAGGAAACTTTTTTTGATAATAAAATAAAATAGTGATTTTAGTTTGAGTATATTCCAGTACAACGCTACCTTTGCTTACAAAAAAAATAACTATTGCTGCTAAGTTGCTTCCTGGTTCTCGGGCGCAATACTCGATATATCTCCGCCTTCAACAGCTTCCATAAATATACACCGCACAAAAATTATCGCATCTATCAAAGCAGAAAACACAGAAATGAACAGCATAATTGCAAAGTCGAATGTATGCCTATCCGCATTTTGTGTGTGAACAAGAACCGGAGAAGAAAAGACACGTTTTTTGGCTCGAGTTTTTCAGTTGAAGAATGCCCATTCAGGGAATACTCAAGAAATTTTTAAAATAAATTTACTGTAGCCAAAATATTTAAAAGCATTGGTAATGCGATAATTTTTGTGCGGTGTGTATATCTCTACTCTATGGCGTCATGTGATTTTATTGGTCAGGATCGTGCTTGAGAACGTGCTGAATATTCTCTATCGTGCTCCATGTGCTCCGAAGGTTATATTCAGCACGAACCTTTTTTTCGTGCGCGAACGTTCGCGGATGTTCTCGAAAGCACAATCAGAATGTTCCCTTGTTCACATCACTAGTAGTAAGCTTTATTTACCTATTATTGTAGGGTACTGACTATAGACTTTAAACCAAGAAAAACACCTATTTTTTTCTGGAAGATCAGCTAAAAATTAAACTATAGTAAAAACACCCCCCCGTGTACTTATTACGTCACCAAAATGTCAAAAAAAAAATTGCAGCTGTTTTGACATATCGCATTGTAACACTTTAAAAAACTCACCCTGTATACAGGGTATTCTATTTAAAATAAGAAAGTTGGAGCACGACCAGCTTTTCTGAAACACCCTGTATATGCAAAAGTGAGTTTTTCAAAAAATTTAATTTCAACCATAAAACTGTCCCCCCACACATTTTACGATATTTCTGACATTTGCCCCTTCACTCTCTCGAGAGGATCGGGGGGTCATTTTCTTATTTTAAATGGAAAGATGTGTTTTTTATTCTGAAATACGATTCTACATACAAAATGGAGTCTGTTCACAAATTATTTTTCAAATTGTTCAACTAATTATGACTAAAAAAGAAATCAGTTACCTAGGTTACTGAACCAGAATATTAATTCAGACATATGGTTTCAGCACGACGGAGCTTCACCCCACTATGCCATACAGGCCCATAATCGTTTGAATAGATTATTTGGAAATAGGTGGATTGGTCGGGGTGGTCCTGTCAACTGGCCTGCTCGTTCCCCAGATTTGACCCCGCTTGATTTTTTTTTATGGGGATTTATTAAGGATAAAGTGAAGTGATGGCTACTGCTCCTACGACTCCAGAGAACATGAAAAACAGAATTCGTTCTGCATGTTTATTGGTGACTCCAGCAATGTTACAACGAGTACGAAATTCATTCCGGCCGGGAAAGAATAAGGAAATGTTTGGAAGTCGAAGGCAGAAATTTTGAAAAACTTCTTAGGCATAATAGACGATAGATAATTAAAAA